ACACACACACACACACACACACACACACACACACACACACACACACACACACACAGAGAGAGAGAGACATAAACAATCACACACTATCATTACATTATCTCTCGGAGGAATGAACCATCAGCACAGGGATAATTCGAGGCCATGTTTTCTTTTCTCACACAAAGAGTTATTTAGTAATTGAAGTTTTTTTAACAGTGTTGTTCGCTGCTCAATTTTTTATTAACCATGRAAACTGTTTAACAAACAAAGGCGTTTGGTTGCCTTCCTGGAAGATCATCAGCTTACAGCAGATTTAAAATTACTGTGTTTAGGATTTCAGGAGGAACATAAAGCTCTTGAAGTTTTTCTGGCTCAGAGCCATAAAAACATTTTCTATCATCTTGGACACCTGCAGTTTGGAGTATAATATGAGGTTTGACTGAGGTGTTTTTTTGCTTTGTCCATATAGAGGAGGACCAAGTGTTGAAGAAATAATAATAGCTTATCAAGAATGCCAAGGATTGATTGGGTTCATCGTTTTTTTACAAGCTTAATTCACAAACTGCTTGAGATGGTGCCTTGTTAAAAAAAACATTGAAAATGTAATGGCACTCTTTTCTGTAAAGTGGCTTGAGAAGAAATAAATGAACTGAACTGAACTGAAATTGAATTAAAATTAAATTAAACTTTCATCTTGGGCAATAACACAACAATGCACATAATATACATGAAATATTCACTTTACCAATACTGGATTAATTTTAAAGCAAGAAAATTCATCAAAACCTATTACTTTTTAAAACGTATTTTTATTTGTGCTTAACAAAGGCAAAATAAATAAATAAATAAATAAATAAATAAATAAATAAATAAATAAATAAATAACTTTTGCTCCTGAAGCAAGCTGCACATCAGTACATGAAGACACATTCATTCGTCACTAAAAAACACATTCCTGTTAGCTGGAAGCTTGGTGAGGACAGACAAAGATGAATGAGTCATTCTCCCTGAAACCCACAAAATCTCAACCTGGAGTGAAGAACTACGATTCAAAATACACACCAATTTAGCTTCAAATAAATACTTTTAAAGGCTACTGCTGTTCTACCTGGTTAATGTTGTTATTTACCATCAAGAAAATAAGAAACTTTTAAAGAAAGTTGTGCCAACTTGTAGAAACATTCTCAGAAAGTTAAAAAGTCTAACATATAGGGTTTGTTAAAGATTTTATCCATCATTTACTTCATTTAATTAAAAACAACAAATTTCAACACAACACAAGCACAATATCCATCCATC